TGCACTTATGATTGGAACTCTAGCAAGCATCCGCAACTACTAAAGATCACTAAGGTAAAACCCAACCATAGCATTATAAGGCATCAAGTCATCTTTACTCCCATACGCAAACAACCTACTTACTCGGGTCTGTGCTTCTATCACTCACTCCACCCACCATAAGCAAATCATGATCATATTGCAAACCCTACAGAGGGGATCCCTCACATTTGTGCGACATGGAGAGCACCATAGGACAACACCAATAATAAAACATGCAACTCAAACCAATCACGATCATCAATTAACCCATAGGACAAAACGGATCAACTCAAACATCATAGGATAGCCATACATCATTGGGAAAGAATATATAGCGTTAAGCACCATGTTTAAGTAGAGATTACAACGGGTAAAAGAGGGGTTACACCGCTGCATAGAGGGGGGAAGAGTTGGTGATGATGGCGGTGAAGTTGTTGGTGTAGATTACGGTGATGATGATGGCCCTGGCGGCGTTCCGGCGCCACCGGAAGAGAGGGGGACAGAGCCCCCCTTCTTCTTCTTCTTCCTTGACCTTCTCCCTATATGGGAGAAGGGTTTCCCCTCTGGTCCTTGGTGTCCATGGCATGGGAGGGGTGAGAGCCCCTCCGAGATTGGATCTGTCTCTCCGTCTCTCTCTGTTTCTGCGTTCCAGATTCTGCCCTTTCACCATTTCTTATATTCACGGAGATCCGTAACTCCGATTGGGCTGAAATTTGGACACGATTTTTATCTGGATATTAGCTTTCTTGCGGCGAAAGAAGGGCCGAGGGCGCGCCTGACCCCCTGGGGCGTGCCCCCTGCCTCGTGGCCCCCTCGGGCATCATCTCGCGTTGATTCTTCTTCCCAAAATTCACATATATTCCAAAAAAAATCTCCGTCAGTTTTTATCCCGTTTGGACTCCGTTTGATATGGATTTTCTGCGAAAAAAACGTGCAACAAACAGGAACTGGCACTGGGCACTGGATCAATATGTTAGTGCCAAAAATAGTATAAAAAGTTGCCAAAAGTATATGAAAGTGGTAGAATATTGGCATGGAACAATCAAAAATTATAGATACGACGGAGATGTATCAGCATCCCCAAGCTTAATTCCTGCTCGTCCTTGAGTAGGTAAATGATAAAAAAGATAATTTTTGATGTGAAATGCTACCTAGAATAATCTTGATCATGTAATCTAATCATGGCATGAATATTAAGACACGAGTGATTCAAAGCAATAGTCTATCATTTGGCATTAAGACAATAATACTTCAAGCATACTAATAAAGCAATCATGTCTTTTCAAAATAACATGGCCAAAGAAAGTTATCCCTACAAAATCATATAGTTTGGCTATGGTCCATCTTCACCACACAAAATATTCAAATCATGCACAACCCCGATGACAAGCCAAGCAATTGTTTCATACTTTTGACATTCTCAAACCTTTTCAACTTTCACGCAATACATGAGCGTGATCCATGGACATAGCACCATAGGTGGAATAGAATATGTTGATGGATGTTGTGTGGAGAAGACAAAAAGGAGAAAGTCTCACATCGACGCGGCTAATAAACAGGCTATGGAGATGCCCATCAATTTATGTCAATGTGAGGAGTAGGGATTGCCATGCAACAGATGCACTACGAGCTATAAGTGGATGAAAGCTCAAACTGGAAAATAAGTGGGTGTGCATCCAACTTGCTTGCTCATGAAGACCTCGGGAATTTGAGGAAGCCCATCATCGGAATATACAAGCCAAGTTCTAAAATGAAAATTCCCACTAGTATATGAAAGTGATAACTCAAGAGACTCTCTATATGAAGAACATGGTGCTACTCTAAAGCACAAGTGTGGTAAAAGGATAGTAACATTGTCCCTTCTCTCTTTTCTCTCATTTTTTTTATTTTTTTCTCATTTTTTCTCTTATTTTCTTTTTTTTGTAGGCTTCTTTGGCCTCTCTCTCTTTTTTGGGGCTTCTTTGACCACTTTTATTTTGATAACCTCACATGGGACAATGTTCTAATAATGGTGATCATCACACTTTTATTTACTTACAACTCAATATTACAACTCGATACTAGAACAAAATATGACTCTATATAAATGCCTCCGGCGGTGTACCGGGATGTGCAATGGTCTAGCATAGCAATGACATCAAAAAACAGACAATCCCTGAAAACATCATGATAGCTATCTTACGATCATGCAAAGCAACATGACAATAAATGCTCAAGTCATGTATATGATGATGATGGAAGTTGCATGGCAATATATCTCGAAATGGCTATGGAAATGCCATAATAGGTACGTATGGTGACTGTTTTGAGGAAGATATAAGGAGGCTTATGTGTGATAGAGCGTATCGTATCATGGGGTTTGGATGCACTGGCAAAGTTTGCACCAACTCTCGAGGTGAGAAAGGGCAATGCACGGTACCGAAGAGGCTAGCAATGATGGAAGGGTGAGAGTGCGTATAATCCATGGAATCAACATTAGTCATAAAGAACTCATATACTTATTGCAAAATCTATTAGTCCTCGAAACAAAGTACTACGCGCATGCTCCTAGGGGGATAGATTGGTAGGAAAAGACCATTGCTCGTCCCCGACCGCCACTTATAAGGAAGACAATCAATAAATACCTCATGCTCCGACTTCATCACATAACGGTTCACCATACGTGCATGCTACGGGAATCACAAACTTCAACACAAGTATTTCTACAATCCACAACTACCCACTGGCATGACTCTAACATCACCATCTTTGTATCGCAAAACTATTGCAAGGAATCAAGCATATCATATTCAGTGATCTACAAGTTTTATGTAGTATTTTATGACTAACCATGTGAATGACCAGTTCCTGTCATCTCTCTAAATAGATATAAGTGAAGTAAGAGAGTTTAATCCTTTCTACAAAAGATATGCCCATGCTCTAACAAATATAAGTGAAGCAAAAGAGCATTCTACAAATGGCAGTTTTCTATGTGAAGAGAAACAGGCAATCCAAACTTCAAAAGATATAAGTGAAGCACATGAAGCATTCTATAAAGCCATACTCAAAAGATATAAGTGAAGTGCAATGAGCATTCTATAAATCAACCAAGGACTATCTCATACCAGCATGGTGCGTCAAAGAAAGTGAAAACAAATTGCCAGGGGCTCTATATGGCCACACATCTGTCGCCAAACAAAAGCCCGAATAGCTTTATAGCACAATTCGGCGTCCTGAGCTCGACATTATATGCATCGGCTTCGAATCATGTCTTTGTTCAATAGTTGGGTTGCCCGGCTCCTGTGTTTGCTACCTTATGTTCCGTTTGTTCGGCTAGGGTAGTAAAGGAAGAACTACTGCGATTGTGTTTCCGATTCGTCCGGTCAAGCACCTCAGTAGAGAAAGCCGAAAACTGACTGCCATGATGCGGCGAGAGCTGGTCAGCTTCAGCGAAGCCAGGACGTTTCAACTTCACCTCACCTTCTGCCATTCCGCCATTCATCTCTTCCATTCTGTCATTTTTTTCTCCTTCCGCGATTCATCGCATAACACTTTTCGCCATTTCGCGCAGCACACGTTCACACATTCTGTCATTTGCAGCACACCTTCCGCCATTCGCAGCACACCTTCCACGCTTCCCTACACCACGTCAATGTACTGCACGGGGAGTGCGGATGCTGGAACCGGCTACGATGGTGCTGCAATTGGCACGCTGTGAAGCTGCAACTAGTAGCGGCAATTGCTACGTTCGGGCATGTACAATGCATAGCCCCAGGATGATGCCTCGCATGTCATGTAGGATCGGATATCATGTAAAATAGGTTCGGGTAGGAAAACGGGATCCTCTACAGGAGGCGTATGTTTGGAGAGAAAAAGTGTAATCCGGTGTCAAAAATTGAAAAGTTTGAAGTGAAAAGTAGAAATGCATGTGCACTATAGTCTTTATTTATTTTTTCTTAATGAGGCCCACTAGTTGTATCTTGCATTGGAAAGAAGAAATAAAGATAGATGCCTCAAACTACCTTTTATCATGAGACATCTACATCTATATGCCATCATTGTACATGCCCTTATGTGTCCCACGAGTCTCTCTCAACGTTCGCCAGCGATCACGATCCTTATTGTTAAATCTAAACTCGGTCAACGAGCCAGCATGTGATCGACTGCACCATAAAATTAGAAATGATATGAGAGAGAGACGTGGTGCAGGAGAACAATTATTCTGAAGGAAGAAGAATTATTTCTTCCTAGTCTAATCCCAACCTCTAATGTGCCCCGTCATGTCCTCCTCCCCTCCGCGGACCCGGTAGCTAGCTCTCCCGTACGTAGGCCATCTCTCCGCCCGTGACCACCACCAAGAGGCGTCCCCGGCAGAGATCAACGACGGCGGCAGGGGCGCTTCCCGACGTCTCAACTCTCAAGGTGAGTCTTCTCCACTGAATACTCCCTCCTCTTCCTCCTTCATTTCTCTGATTTATCTTTCTGCTTCGGTTCCGTACGTGACAAGTAACCCGCCCACATCCATCTCAATCCTTCCTACCCTCCACCAACAACCATGTCGACGCCTCCGATTCCAGCGACGAGGCCTGCACCGACGCTGCCGGACGAGCTTATCGAGGAGGTCTTCCTCCGCCTCCCACCGGACGAGCCCTCGAGCCTCGTGCGTGCCTCCCTGGCCAGCAGTTTTTGGCTCGGCCTCCTCACCGGCACTAGCTTCTCCGTTGGCTACCGAGAGTTCCATGATGCTCCCCCCATGCTGGGCTTCTTTTATTCCTGGCTCCACGCCGACCGCCCTGCCGACGAAGGAGAACCCCCCGTCCAGCGCTTTGCCTTCACCACAAAATTCGGCGCGCGCATTCCCGAGGTCGAGGAATGGGACGACTATGAAGCGTTGGACTGCCGCCATGGCCGCGTTCTCTTTGAAAACCCCTTTGGGTGTCCCGCCCCGCTCTTCGTTTGGGACCCCATGACGGGCTGCACGAGATACCTGGAGAAGCCCGATGGATGCTGTGAGCGGCTGTGACCACCGCTTGTGTGACGGGGGGCCCGTTTTTTTTTTTTTGGAACGAAGACGCTAGAAGCGTCCGGCTTTAAATTAATAAAGCCCGAAAGGCATCCAGGTTTAACGGTTACACAATAACAGGTTCAGCAACACACCCCTCAGGGCAACGGGGGGCCCGTCCGTGTGGTCTTTTTCACGACGGGCGACGATGATGGTTGTGTTGCACACGTGTCCGTCGCGTTGCTGGAGATGGATGATGCGTGGAGGGAGAGCTCTGATCTTGATCTTGAGCTTGAGTGGACCCTGAGCACTGGTCTTGAACTTGAAGCTAGGCATGCATTCATTCCGGAAATACTGCCCCCTGTCCTCATCAAAGACGCACTCTACTTCATGCTTTCCATTGTTGATGGTGTTCGTGACATGGCTATTCTCAAGTACGACATGGCCTCTGATGGCTTGTCATTGATTGATCTACCCGACGTGCGCTCTAATGGCTTACCGCTCAAAGACCATTCCTTTATCCCCATGGCCATGGGGGATGGCAATTTGGGGTTTGCACAAGTGGACGGGTTAACCCTCAATCTATGGTCAAGCTCAATCCAGACGGGTGTCGAGGGCCTTGCGTCATGGACTCAGCATAGAGTTGTCGATCTCAACAAGAACCTTCTCCCTATTCGGAATCCCAAGCAAAGTCTTAGGCTGATTGGATCTGTGGAAGGCAGTGATATCATTTTCGTGACTACAGACCTTGGCATCTACCAGATTAGTCTCATGTCCCTCGGGTGGAAGAAGCTATGGAAGAGCGAGAAGTTCAGTGCTTTGATTCCGTACATGAGTTTCTACAATCCACAAGGTATATTTATATGTCCATTTGTTTCTGATTTGGTAACAACCACCCTTAAATAATAAGCCCTCTGTTCCAAAGTAAGTGTCGCTCTCAAGTATTTTACACCTAGCTATATTTGATGTTTAACCAGATGAAAATTTATATTTGATGTTTTTAATTTGTGATAATGTATGTGGGCTCAAGAAAACTTTGAGCGCTATGTACTATACTTGAATTTTACACCTAGTTATTCTTATGAAGGGGTATGGAATCACACAAATAAATCTACATTTGCAGAGAGGATCAACCCCTACGATGAAGCTCATTGATGGCTTAGTGTTGAATGTGCTTAAGAGCAGAAGGCCAATATCATCAATTGGAAAAATGACCACTTGAAGGGGCAACGTGGTCTCGTGATGAATTATGCACTATTAATAGCTGGTTTGGTGCGATGGTGTTTGTTTTGTCATTTTGTTGGTAACTTAGTCGGCCAGCATAATAATTCCCGGTGTTAAGTGGCATGCGTAAGCGGGTGAAGGGATTATCTTTGTAATGAACCTACTAGTTGTCACAGGAATTGACAGAGCTAACCGACTTCCTCATAATTGAAATGTCTTATCTTCTATAATTGATGTCTTAATATCTTTCAATATCAAGTTGCCGCATTTGGTTTGCCCCCTCTTCATGCCTACATATTGCCTCACACTAGAGGTCTCTCATTTTGCATCATGCTTATCGACATCTAGAACCTTTGTGTAACCATCGATCAGGTCAGGAATCACCAAATTTAAAATCACGGGCGAAAGTTGCGCGATCGCGGTGCAATCGCTGGCTGGAAGCCTCTCCCCACGACGCAATCCTTCAAAAAAACGTGATCTGACGCTAAACGCACGATCGTGCGTGAAACGGGACGATTTGCCTTCGCTTTCGCTGCACTTTTGTTGGGACGGGCTTAATGACTGAAACAAGAAAAAGTAATAAAACATTGGGGGGGGGGGGGATAAATATTCCAAGCTTGCTAATAAGCTCCTCTGGTATTAAAATTCACAATATTCTAGACAAAAAATATTTGGTAAAAAAAATCTCATACTGATAAAAGTTACAGATTTTGAGGCGTGAGAACAAGTTACTACATGGAGGCGGAGGCATATCTGAATGACTCTATAGAATGGTGCAATGGTGAGTATGAGAAGAGTTAGAGCAGGTTACGTGTGGTGCTCTGCTATTTGGTTTTCATGCCTATGAATTTATAGACGAAGAAGACTGCAGTCTACTGTAGCATGTCGTTCTTCAGACAGTTCTCTGTTGTCCAGTAGGAAATGGTACTGTTTGACCTGCAAGAGACTAATAATGTGCACCAGGAAGTGTAATTATTTGACCTGCACGAGATTTATAAAGATCCCATAACTAATGGGAGTAGTAAAGTTACAGATCTTGAGGCTCAACAGCCAGTGCAGACAAAGTCTTATTGTCGTTTGACCTGCACCCCTGAACGGAGGCTAGCTAATTCTGCATGATTAGGGGAAAAGCATTGAGACATGGTGATCTTTTGCATCATGGGATTAAGAGTTGAGACACAAGTGTATATGTGCATGCCCAGGCCTATTGCTGCATTAACTCTACAACAAGCAACAAAGCATCTGAAATTGTTTGACCTGCGCCCAGGCATGATCACTGTACCCTTGCAATCTCTGACAAAAAATAATTTATTTATTCATTTGAACATAAGGAGGCGCCATTTCTTGAGAATTCCAAAGCATTTTACATCTAGGACTTTGAAGTCCCAGTGAACAAAGTTGCTCAGCCTGAGCAACATCGGGCACTGCATGACCCTGTGAGCCTGAACAAAGTAGTAGTACAGTAAGCAGAGGGGGATACAACGCACAGCTTTTCAAAGAGACATTTACTGCAGCACAATTACGTGACACACCACTTCAAAATCTCTAGCGATGGGACATATCCACAATCCTCGATCATTATAAGCCTCCAAGAAATGTGCGAGATCAGATCAAATTTCCCACTGCCTTGGATTGGAAAGGAGGTCATCTGAAGCTGCAGCTTAGCTAATGCTTGATCATCTGCACATCTTGCCATGATCGTCCTGTTCTCTGCAAACATAGATTCCAATGCTTGTAGCAGGTTGCAGAGAGTTGTTCTCCCAGGAGACATGTTGCAAAAAACTTAAAACCTTCAATGTCCAAGTCAGTTTTAATGGTAGCTCCCCGAGGGGGTGAGTCATCAACATCTGTTGCTGCTCCTGGTGGTTGATCTTGTTGCCTACCACCAATGCTGACCACTGCATAATAACATGTGAAAATCTTCATCCCACTACATGGACATTGCAATCTACTACTATTATGTCCACTGTAGGCCAAAAGTATGCAGCAAGTACCTGAAAGTTTTGCAGACCTGCTGAAGCAATAAAAACCTGTATGAGATCTTCAAGCAGCCATGCAGCCCCATATCCTATAGTTCCCTAAACTTATGGCTAAAGATTCAGTTTGCATGCTATGCTCTTTACCAACAATGCTTGCTAAAAAAACAACAGCAGTGACATCAGCTCTTGACAAGTAGCACTAGTCTTTTCTAGGGCGTCAGGTAGCACTAATAAAAGCCATAAGATTAATTAGGATACATCAGCAGACCGGCATGCAGAAACCATCATTATATCGATTCTTGGATGACAGAACTACTAACTTTGGATATCGTTTGAGATGAATTTAAAGAATGGATCAGAGCGGGGAGAGCAAACTGTAGAGTTTTTAAAATGGTAAGAATAAACTACTGTCTATAGAAACAACAGAGCACATCTCTGACGCTGCAAGAAATTAGAGGTTCATTACAAGAAAACCCATTCACCTACTACTGTCTATATTTTTCTGAACCACCACCATCATCTGCATCAACACGCCACACCTCATTTAGACTAGCATAGATAAAATACAGACTATAAACTCAAAAGAGGAACTCCTACATATATGCGCACTTTGATGGGTTCAGTTTCCTGATTTACAAGATTTACAAAATAATGCTGCCAAGCACGTTCAATGTAAGTATACATGTCAACTATAACAAGCATCAGTGGAGTGGACAGAGGTTACTTGTACTAGCAATTATCACTGTACCCTTGCAATCTCTGACGAAACATTATTTACTTATTTATTTGAACAAAAGGAGGCGCCCTAGGGTGCCATTTCTTGCGAATTCAAACACATTTTACATCTGAGACTTTGAAGTCCCTGTGAAGAAAAAACACAGACTGAGCAAAATTGGGCATTGCATAGCCCTGTGAGCTTAAGTTATCTACTACAGTAAGCAGAGGGGGATAAAATAGATAGTTATCTGTTAGGAGCGTTGCCTGCTGAATCTGGATTAGTTTTGCAACCTCAGTTGGCAAGAGAAGAGCTTTTGCTTCTGCCTGAAGAGGAGAGCTGACAGCAGCACAACTTGCCATGATACTGATGTTGATCCTATGATCATCCTGCTCTCTGCAAATGCAGATTGCTAGCCTACATCAGGTTTCAGAGAGGAATTGTTCCAGGAGCATCTGCAACAGACTTAAAACCTGCAATGTTCAAGTCAGTTTTAATGGTAGCTCCCTGAGGAGGTCAGTCATCAACATCTGATCATCAACACTTACAGGTAACACTAATTAAATCTACAAGATTAATTAGGACACATCAGCACGCCAACATGCAGAAATCACAAACATATCATCTCTTGGGCAACAGAACCACTAACTCTGAGCATGTTCTCATGATCTCATCAATGGAACATCCTTTGAGATGAATCTAAAGAATGGATCAGAGTTGGGACAGCAAACTGTAGAGTACATGGCTACTGACAACAGAGAGAGCACATAGCTGACGCTGCAAGAAATTGGAGGTTCATTACAAGATAACCCATTCATCCGCTTACACATAGCTACTGACGGGGAAATTATATGCTTAGTGGAAAAAGCCAACAACAGAATGAAAAACAAGCACCACTGCACAAAAACGACTACTATATAGCGATGACCATTGTAGCTTTCAATTTATTTTTGATGAGTGGCCTCGTACCCCAAGCATACTCAACCATATATTGTCATTGCGCCACATCACCGGGGATCACTCTTCCTGCAAGTGTAAATTTGTCAGTGTAATTCCAAAAAGGAGATGACATGATATTATATAAATTGCCAATTAGTAAGCATAATTAGTTGTAATTCCATAGCACTCAAAGTTTGCTCGGGCACATTTCAAATATGACTTTCAATCCGATTAGGCATTCAATGTTTTGTTTGTTCCACTAACTATACATGGAGTATGACTTAAGAGTTGTTCCTGAATCACAAATAAGAGAACATATAGATACAAATATACCTTATGGATTGTAGAAACTCATGTACGAAATCAGACCACAAAGCTTTTCTCTCTTCTGTAGCTTCTTCCACCGTAATGTCTTGAGACTAATCTCGTAGGTGTCAAGGCCCATGGTTACAAAAATGATATCATTGCCCTCCACAGATCCAATCAATCTAAATCTTTTATTGGGATTTTGAATAGGGAGATGGTTATTAAGATCGATGACTGTACGCTGAGTCCATGACCCAATTCCGTCCGAATCTCCCTGTCTTGACCACAAGTGGAGGGTTACCTTGTGCACATGTGCAAACCCCAAACTGTTATTAAGATCATCTTCCTTGTACATGAGCTTGACGTAAACTGCGTCTTCCACGAAGACTGGGGCCATTTCGTCCCAGAGTGGAATGGGCTCAAGATGAAGACCAGAGCACGGCTTGCTCCAATCACCCGCCCCCGGCAAGGACACACACGTTCATCTTCCATCCTGTCCACAGCGATGAAGACCACCTTGAAGGGGCCTGCGTGGCACGCACGGTGGTCACAGCCGGCGACGGCGCAGAGCACCGCTGCCCCATAGCTGGTGCCCAACTGGTCAGGTGGGTCCAGCTCCCTCCGGCAGCCAGTCATGGGGTCCCAAACGACGAGCGCAACGGGTTCGTAATCCATATCCCCGAGGAGAACGCGGCCATGGCGGCAGTCCCACGCAGCGTAGCGGAAGTACCCCCAGTCGTCGTCGGGAATGCGCCCAGGGAATTTGGTGGTGGGGAAGAAGTGCGGGATGTTATCCTCCACCTCATGGACGGAGTTGGGGCGCCAGGAACAAAGGAAGCCCAGCACTGGGGGAGCTCCATGGAAGTCGCGGAAGCGAGGGTCGGAGAGGAGGGCGAGCCAGACCTTGCTGACGAGGGAGGCGCGCGCGAGGTGCTCGGGCTCGTCCGGGGGGAGGCGGAAGAAGACCTCCTCGAGGAGCTCGTCCGGCAGCG